AAAATATAGAGCTTAAATAGCTTATAAAATACTATATAAAATAATAATCCTTTTATTTTTAAGTATTTTATATAGCTATTTATAAGACTTAGAAATAGCTAGGTTTTAGTGTAAAAAGGGTAAATTATTAAAACTTTCGCACGTAACTATAAAGAAATAGAGTTTAATATTTATTTTTATTATTCTTTAGTTAACACTAAGAGGATGTTTGCCCTGGAGGTATTTCCTATTGTTTTTCTCATTACCATTTATCTAGGGGCCTGGAATATGTTAAACTCTTAGTCTTTATTGAAATTATCTGAGCCATGTACTGATTCATTCGAATTGTTATTAGTAACATCAGACATGAGCTTCGTACCCTTCGTGGCATAATATGGCTTCAGTAAATCCACGATCGTGTCCTCATTTCGCAAGCTGGCGAAAAACATAGGCTAATCATATGGCTTGTCCATGCCATCAAATGGCTTGTACTTGAGAAGCAACTTAACCGCTTCGACTTCGCCTTCATCACAAGCCTCGACGAGTGCTCTCCAGATCTGGTGTATTTTGGTTTTGGGGTCGTCGGAACTCATGCCAAGGAAGATCTTCATTATCTCGGGCTTGCCGTGTGACGCCGCGAGTACCAAAGGTGGGCGTTCACAATTGTCGTAGGAGTCGGAGTAAGACGTGGCCCTGTGTTGTATAAGAAATTTGAGCATGTCCATATGGTTTCCAGCAACGGCATTCATCAATGCTGATTTTTCCATGCCCTCGTCCGGCAGAGCTCCTTTGTTGACTAAGGCACGTACGAAACCCAGGTCACCGGACTCGCTGGCGAACGACAACGCATGATATCCGTTTATGTCGTAAGCGTTGGGGTTAGCACACTTTTCGATCAACATGAGAACAATCTCGCTGTGTCCACCACACGCTGCCGCCAGCATAGGCGTAATATCCTCTTCATCTAATGTGTCGATGTCCGCATCATGGTCCAGGAGCTTCTGCACGATTTCCTTGTGTCCTGCTCCAGCGGCTGAAGCGAAAGGCGTACAGCCATCTTTATCCACAACGTTCGGATCGACACCTTTCTCGATCAGCAGCGAGACGACTTTACCATATCCACTCCAACAGGCCTGACAAAGGACCGATATTCCATCGTCCTTGTTCACGTTCACGTCTGCCCCTTGCTCAACGAGGAATATGATGTCATCCTCTTCTATTCTGTCCCGACAGCCTAGGGTCCAGAGCAAAAGGTCCCCACCTGAGTTCTTCCTCCAATCAAAGTCGGGTTTAATAGCTTTGTATCTCTGTTGTATTTCCTCCAGCCGAGGAGAAGTAGCTGGGACTGGTCTTGGCATGAGCCCGTATCCAAGCTCAGGGGGTGATTTCTCTTTCAGGATCTCAATGACGGCGAGTTGCTCGTTGTTGATGGACCACAGAAATGGTGTCCGCTCCAAATCATTATCTTTCATATTTGGATTGGCGCCTTTCTGTAACAGAAGATTGACGATATTTGCATGGCCATTCTCGGCTGCCCAGGACAGAGAGGTTCGCCCGCTTTTGTCCACAAAGTCCACCTCTGCATCAGCGTTCCACAGTAACTCCACGCACTTTTCGAACCCGTGCTCTGCCGCGTAGAGGAGCGGATTCTTCTCGTGCCGCCATTCTTTAGTATCAACGTTTGCTCCTAACGCCAACAGCCTGGCCACGAGATTAGAAGACCCAGAGATCGTAGCAAGCATCAGCGCCGTGTAGCCCGCATCATCAGTGGCATCTATCTTAGCGCCTGCTGTGATCAGCCTCTCCGCAATTGCCTCGTAGCCATTTGCCACGGCGTGTAACAAGGCCGTTCGGTTTCTAAGATCTTGCGAGTGAGGATTTGCACTTCGGCGAAGGAGAAGATCGACGGCATTGTCATGTCCTCCCAGTGTGGCCCAAATTAGCAGTGTCCGCCCATTTTGTAGGTCGCGAGCATCGACGCTTCTTCCGGCATCGAGCTGGTTTCCGAGTTCTTTGGTGTTTCCGTTGACTGAGGCGACGATGAGAGGATCCTCCCAAGCACACAGTTCCATAGACATGATCGCAAGTGTCTGACCTGAATTATCAACTCCGGCTTGTCAGCGACCTTTGCCTTGCGTGCTGTTCACTTATTTATCTTCTGAAAAACTCTTTTTCTTGCGATACTGGTTTAAAATTACATACGGGGCATTTAAGCAGCACCCCCATGACCGTTTTGTTGTCCATCATAAACAGTAACAGCCGTTCGTATTCAGCGGAACTAGCCTGTGCTGAAGTGGGGCCTTGGAGGCTGAAGGGCGCGCGCCCTTCCCTGGCGATTCTTCAGGCCGGACATGTTTTCGGAGAGGATATTTCTTTTTTAGTTATCTGACTCAACACTTTAGCTACGAAGAGTGTAAAAGATATGTACACCTTGAACTGGGCAATAGACAGACCACGTCGTATAGAGCTATGTCTCAGAACAATAAGTGGAAATTGCCTTCATCTAGGAGCAGATGTTAACTTTGAATACTGCCCACTTGGGTCAGATCTGATCATCGCGAGTGCATGTGGTCAACCAGAAGCGCTCAAGCTACTGATTCGAAGACCGGTATGGTATGTTGCACGGGGAAGACTGGACTATTAAGCTTGTATAGAGTTACATGCTCTAAGGCTGTGAGGTACTGGCTGCTTGTTGATCGGTTCAACGATCAGAGGCGAATCAAGGAGGCAATCGACGATAAGTCAGTAGGGAATCAAGACCTTGGAGTGACGTTTTTCAAGCGAGACACCAGTTACACGGATTCCAGTACTTACACAATGGCGAGGTAAGCATTGACTACTCAAGAGGATTGATACCTTGTAGATACTAGTTATTCCCATAGGAGGTTATGCTTTATGTGAATTATCGGCCCTCACCGCCTAAACGTCCATCCCCAAAGCCTCTCCCTGTGGCTATAACGTTTACAAGTGATCAGAAAGGATCGCCAATATACGTTATCCTAAACGGTGCAAACTAGCCCGTTCCGGCGGGTGTTGAATTTTGTGGCTACAGAGTTGCTTCACTATTCGCCGTTGTTCGCCGTTGGCTTGTGACCGTTACACAGCCTAGTAGATTTACAGTTTAGGTACCCCGCTTTGAGGTCTGGGAAGAGTAACATAAGAAGGCAATTTCTTCCTTTTAAAGCGGCTGGGATTTTGTAAACCGTTGACATTCGGCTCAGTCAATAAACTTATCGACAGTACTAAGCATCACATTGATCTTGTCAATCAGCCTATCTCTCCAGTAAGACATTGGACCATGACCTATCTTACCTGTGATTACGACAGTGAGACATCAAGCATTGCTGATGAAGGAATCGATACCCCGTTCAGTTCAGACTTTGAGGGTAAGAAGGCTTTGCATACTGTGCTGATAAAGCTAATTCAAGAGGGTAAAGAAGTGGACATGAACCAAATACTGTCTCCAAACAGTTTGGATACTGAAGACTCCTTGGAGGCTTCTGCTTTGCACAGTAGACCAAACACGCTCTTGGACCATGGTCTTTCAGCGACGCAAAGAGAGTGGGAAGCCCTATGTACTAAATACCATCAAGGCATCCAATATCTCCGAGATATCGAGGATCAGATGTTCCGCCACCAGACACAGCATTCTTGTCTCTGCATTGGTCACCAGAACCCCATTCTATACACATATCGTCACCAGCGAACGACGGATCGAAGCACTAATAGTATTCATCAAACTGTCCGTTCTCTTCGTCATCGTCTTCAGAACAACATCTCCTCGGATCTCTTGCCCGACAGCCATTGCCCCAAACCTGAACTAAACAACACTGTAGAGGTATCCGTTGTTACGCTTGATACTCTAAGGGGAAAGAGGACAATGATAAGCTTGACAACCAGGTCAACAATGGATCACGTCGAGCAGTTACTTGGGTTTTGGGAATATGATCTACCCTAATTTTAAACCCAGGCTCACAAGTCAGAATGGCTACTCTTCTTATAGTTAACATGACTAGAATATATTTCCAGATGCTGCTCTAAAGGTTTATTACGTAAACAAGGACTTAACAGAGTAAGGGGTGTGTTCTTATAATTACAGTCTGTAGGCAAAGTAGAATTTCCATTTATGATCTGGAGTTTACAGTGTTCGATTAATTCGTTTCTCTCCAGAAAGTACTGGCTTAACGTGTTCAGGGAGGTTGCACGGCAGCATCAAAAGGTAAGAAGTTGGTAGGAGTACTCAGTGCTGAGGAGGAGTCAAGTATCTACTTAGTCAGGTTGTCTGGACGGCATCACACGCTCAACTAACAGAAAGATATAATATTAGTAGGGCTATTCTGAGATAAGGTTATCATGACCTGGGCAATTTGGAAAACCTCTTCGAAGCCTACTAATATGGGAAGCTAATCTTTGCTGATGGGAAAGGATTTACCAGCAAAGTATTCTGGTAAGATGATAGAGGCTGGACATCGTTGCCGAAACTGTGAGAATAGAATTTAGGCCAAAACAGCCAGTCTGTCGAAATCAGGTGCCCAACCACCATTGACACCCGAAATTGTAATGGTGTTTGGTCCACTGGTGCTGAAGCCAGAAAGCTCTACAGCGTAGCCCTTGTACACATCCTTATCCCAGTTGTAACCCGTCAGTGGAAAGCTCACTGTCTTCGTAGTACCGCCATTGACCTTGATAGAAGCCAGGCGCTCGTTGGTACTACCGCCGAAACCTACGTCGCCGTTGATGTAATCAAATAGAACATTTTGAGTGGCCTTGGACGTGCTGATATTCGAGAGGACAACCTGGCCATTGGAGCTGCCACCGAGGTTGCCGACTTTGGTCGAGGAAGTGCAGCCAGAGCAAGAGGCAGTCTGTGCCCCTGATGATAACGACCCGGTGGAGACAGAAGTATACTTGTAATTGGCTGTACTACTGGCTTTCTTAATGTTTGAGAGACGCAATGCGACAGAGCCATGGCCGTTGACCTGCTTGGAGAAGGACGAAGCTCCAGTGGTAGTTTTGCCCGTCCACAGATCCTTGATATCGGCTGATTGATAGCCGAGGGCGGAGAGCTGGAGGCTAAGGGTTCGAGCACTGTTGCTCTGGTCAACATACAGGACTGCAACATCCCCGTTGGCAAGCGGTCCCGCCCACAAGTCTCGATCGCTGGTCCATCGCTGCACTAAGCTGATGGGCTTGACGGCTGAGTCTTGGTTGATAGAGATCAAGTCCTTGTTCTGAAGAACAGCCACGGTCTGGGCCGACAGCGCCGTGATATCCGTGGAGATCATGAGAGCGGATTTGAGCATAGCCCATAGAGCAAAATGGGTCGCCTGTTCGTCGAACGTCATACCAGAGTTACCGACCTCGAGAAGATCAGCATCGGCAATGTGGCCAGGACCTGAGAGGTTCCTGTGCGCAATGTGGATGGCTTGGTTGGAGATGCGGTACACATTGCTCCAGCCTTCGCCAATGTCGTCTGAAAGGCGGAAAGAGGTAGATACACTCTGCGTCCATTCCGCGGGACCTTCGAGGCCACTAGACGAGGAGTATGGAACACCCCATTGGCAAATGAGCATTCCAGGAATTCCGACCTTCTGCAACTCGCTCCACATTGTGCCGAAACGAGTGACAAAGTCAGTTCGTGGATCCTTGGGGGCATTGTTGGTGGTGCTATCAGCGTAGCAGTTGTCATCTGGACCATGCCTTGATCAGTACGATACTCTCTGTTTGTCATAGAAAAGTACTTACATTTCAAATACTCCGTATTTAACGATTTGAAAAACTCGGCGTCGACGGCTTCGTGGCCCAAGGATCCCAGCACAGGGGATGGGTACTGGGGATCACACATACGCTCACCAGCATCGGAATACATGGTCCACTTCATGCCCTTGGACCTAGCCAAGTCACTCAAAGGCTTAAGACCGTCTGGAAAGGCATTGGAATCAATCTTCAGCGCACCCGTGGTTGGGTCACGCTGCGTGTCGCGAGAGGCCCAACCGCAGTCGATCTGGAAGAATTTGTAGCCAGCATCAACGAAACCACCGCTAGAGAGAGCTTCAATAGCTGCGGCGATGGTCTTGTTGTTGGGGCTGCATGAAACCTGATTGTATGAGTTCCAGCCCATGACGGGAGTGGACTGGAAGGATTGACCAGAGACCAGGGAAGGTATGGTGGCAGCCGCCAGGATTGAAGGGATGGATTTCATTGTGATGCTAAGAAGCTCTGTTTGCCAAAAGGGCGGAATAGGTATATCCAGAGATACTGTTCTGAAAGGTTGATTTATTGGGTTGTCAACACTTCCAAGGCTTGCTATTTAGGCTTCAGATTTCCAGTCTCATACATCCAGCAAGATATATCGAAAGGTTCCGTGCATTATTTTGGTACCAGCACCGCAATCGGGCCGTTTTCATTTCATTCGCAGTATGCCCAAATTTGCTAGATGTGTTATACCAGGGTATCTGCAACCTGGGCAGAAGATCCCCCGTGGGGAAAGATCACGGGCCGCAGAAACTCGTTCCATTCCACGATGATCTGCGCCCAGGCCTCGTCGAATCGAGAAGCCCATATGTGCGGCTAACTAAACATAGACGCTACAGACTCAACCCGGGGATCCATTAGTGCGGTTCCCAGCTTGTCGGCATCCAGCAGCTGGCTTGAACTTTATATAATCACTAATCCAAGTGATTGGCGCGCTTTCGTTTCCTCCTCCAATTACGAAAATTCGTGGGCAAAACAAGTATGTAATACAACCTCTGATGTAAGGGAGGGGGATAATGTCTTAGTCTGCGGCCTCCAGAGAATTGATGTATGTCCGAATTCTTGGTGAGTGTTGTGTTGGTTTTGCTTGATAGACCTGGCAGCTCTTATTTGCATCATGCGCGTTGGGTCGTTCCGTGAATGCTTTCTTGGAGATTGCCATGGAGTAGATATGCCCTTCAATGCAGGAAAGAGGATTTGTTCTCTGTCAAGTAATTGTGTTCACATCATGTCGACCTTTGACTTTAACGAGTGGTCTAAGCGCACCAGGATCCATGTCACGCGCGTCGTGTCGGGATAAGTTTCGGGAGGCAAAGGGAACACG